GAAACTACAAACTTGTGTTTATTAAGGATAAAAAGCTCTCGGCGTTAATCAATTCCTGAAGGATGCGTAAATGCATAGCTGGCCTTTACAATGATTCGCGGTGACCTACCGATGTATCCAGCCAGTGCTGCCTCCCACCCAGACAGGTCCGGTACTAATCTGCCGACCCAGAAGGAATGGAGGGCTTGGTGGGCCTAGGGCGGCGGGATTGATCCCGTGTGTATTGCAGTGCGCCTCCGACCACTACATTACACACGCCCCGAGTTTATTATGTTGTTAGTTCTTCGCTTAGGGTTCCTTTTACTGGACATACTACGACAAAACAATGAAGAAAAGTTTGGATGAGGTAACATTTGACAGCGCTAAGTTGTGAAAAAAGAAACGGTGAACGACAACAAAAGCAGTATAATACGGCTACTTACAAAGACCAATGCCAGGAGCCGTTACCATCCTGGTAGCAAACCAATAGCATAGTGGCTCATTTTCCTCTAATCCGCAAGAGTGGTAACTGTCTCTGGTGGTAACGACATGGGGAGACTTTGGCCAGGCTGGCCTCAGGGATCCGGTGAACCACAAAAGCTGAACTAGCAAAACTCCGAAAATATGGAAATTATGCTGGGGCCGCACAACCAGTGAATACGGGACGTCCAAGTATGCAACTATTCAAGTACTTACAGAGTGTTTTGATACCGCCGATTCAAGTTAAACTGGTTGTTAATCTGCCTAATCTTCTGGTCATTTTTTCATTCCATTCATTCCTATCGGTGCCTTGAGGCACCAAAATTCTCGTAGCCGTTCTAGACTATCTAAACTGGTTTTCTGTTCCTTTTCCGAACACAACGTAAATGGTAAGAGGTCTGAACAGAAATGCTAATAACATAAAATCTTGAGGAAACGAAATGTCCGTTAAAGTTCGTGATTTTCGATTATATACGGACTTACAACAGTTTCCCTCCAACCTTATACAAATTCCATCCACCTGTAGACAATCGATAAATCACTTCCGACTCCGAAGAAGACGAAGAGGCCGAAATGCTAGCCGAATAATGCTTCCCAACCTCGTGCTAGTTTTATAAACCACAAAAGTGTTTGTCTATACCAAGGTTAAATGGAAGTCGGGTCTCTAGAAATATTAGACATATACGATTTTTAGAATAGAATATTTCGGACAGTTGTGTGGTCAAAATCGTAAACATATCCACGTTTCTAAACTCTCCCACATTACGATGAGTCTGAAATATCTCACAGTGGTGAAACAATCATCCATGAGCGAGGAAATCGAAACCCGATGGACTACGATAAGAACATCTTAGAGTAAAGCGAAATTTAGCATGTATTGTCCGTAATACAACGGGAGAGCTATCACAGGACAAAGTGAAATTTAGCATGTTTTGTCCGTAACACAGCTAAAATTCAACCTCTGGTTGCCGGCGTTTTGTCACATGATTGCCTATGAATTGATTGGGATTTTTCATTGTTTTTTCTGTCATTCGTCTATTGTGTTCCTCCTTTCCATTCCATGATTCGTGTTTAATCACTCTATGTATTTGTCAACAATGATAGCGCTAGTGTTCTTCTGATATGCGCGGAATCCAGAATCCACTGTTATCGTCTCTGGGGGGGGGTTATGGTAGCTATAATAAAGGTCCGTACTTTTACTCATCAAATTCTGTTGTAGTTGTAATGTTCCGGCGTTTCGCAGAGATTGTTTAACAAATTGAAATTTCGGATATTCGGAAAAACTTCATGAATTCTCAAGTGCTGGAACATGATAGTACTGTAGCGTTTTGAACTGTATCTAAGTGTCCGTAAATCATCAGTGCGGACTTATAATGGAGCGCCGTAAGTGACACATGCAAGATTTTCAGTAGTTTGAAAAATTTTAGTACAACTAGGGATTTGAGGAGTACGGAAAGAATCGGATTAGAATAGCTATGGCTAGGAGAATTTAATTCGTAACTTCAGCAGATGATAGCAGTCAAATGGCTGAATAACTGTGTTTTAGGTTCTCTTTTCAATTTACGTCAGTCTACCTGCGGACAGAGGAAGTGTTGCGTTTTTGTTAATTTAAAGCAGTAGATCTTTGGGAACCTCCCAACGGTTTACCACCTCACTAAGCTGCGAAGTGTTCTTGGGTGTCCGGCTGCGATATACGACCCCCCTAGCAGGGTCTTCCAAGCTAAGAAGTCCGACGTTTCCATCAAGAAACACAGATTATGAGTAAACCAATACCAGGATCCACCACCATCCTGGTATCAAAGCCGCATGGTGGCAAATTTTCCTATGATCCACAAGGGCGGCGACTGCCCGTGGTGGTGAAGACCTGGGGCAGACTTTGGCTAGGCTGTCCTTGGGATTCCAGGGAACCACAAGGGCTTAACCAGCAAATCTCCGAAAAGTGGTGATTATGCTGTGGTCCGCGCAACTAGTCAAGACGGGTCGTCCAAGTATCAAGCATCAAATATTCCCGTCCAATATATGTGCCCCGAAATGCTGGTGTTTTTATCCAAACTACTTCCAATGTCACTTATCGCTTCTTTTCGGATTGTTTGCGCGAATCAAAGGCCAGCTTCCTTTTTTGCTTCTATCGAGACAGGGTACAGATTCGAGAAATGTATGGTTTTGTGTGGTTTTGCATGAAAATATTTGTTTATTTACGTTCATGACGAAATACTAACCTCTTGGGTACTTGGATGACTCGTCCTCACTGGTTGTGGGGATCCTAGCATAATCTCCATTTTTTGGAGTTTTGCTGGTTTAGCCATTGTGTTTTCCTGGAGTCCCGAGTGCAGCCTAACCAAAGTCTGCCCCAGGCGTCACCATGACAGGAAGTCGCCGCTCTTATGGATGAGAGGGAGATTTGCCACCATGCAACTTATTTGATATCAGGACGGAGGTGGATACTGGTTTTGTTTTACTCTATGTGGGCTTCCTGATGGAAACACCGGTCTTCTGTTCAGGTTTGGAGACCCTACTGGGTGGATGAGTTCCCCAGGTGTGCATAGCGACCCTACACCCAATAATACCTCCCAGCCGCAATAAGGTAGTAAACCGTTGGGAGACGTGATGATATAATTCTTATGTAACTTGTACATAGGCGACAGTAATTCCTGGATTTAAACTTTAACGCATACAGATTTAGCTTAGTTTTCTGTGGCGATCGCTTAAGACTACTCCTTATTCTTCAGTGCATTTAGAAGTTTCGAAGAAATCGGTTTGCAAATTTAAGTGAGAAAGGGTCTGGCGATGATACAATTCAGAATATTCAACTGAATTCAGCTGTGTGCAAATAGGGAGACACACATGAACGACTGTGGCCGCGAGTCTAGTTCTATCGGCCTTAAAGAAAAAGTAAGCGCTTCTTATGGTATTCTTGAGTGCCATAGTGCGATGTGCAGCGAAGAGTTTATCTCAGTAGGGTCATATCAGCTGGAAAGAAGTTAAACATTTTTCAGAAACTGAACTAAGAGTAAGCCATTCTAAAGAATCATTGCCATCCTAAAAAAAGTAGTGAAGACGAAGAAGAAAGAAGATCTTTACCAAAAAGTTTATTCTAAAAGTACACATATGAAGTCCTTAGGTCTGTAATGAAATTGGTTATAGAAGAACTATAAGAATTTACGGAGCGAAGACCGTCTTCATCGCATAAACCATCATCTTTCCGTCTTTGTTGGTTGTACCGTTTCTTTTTTGTTTTCTACTCTATCAACTGTAATAGGTCGTTCGAAAATCGACTTCCATTTAACCTCGTTATTAGTAATCATTGTTTTGTTTTATTTAAGAGCTAATACAAGGTTGTTTTAAAAATCCAGGTAGTGCTCCACTGGAATGAGTTCAACTCGTTGCGACTGCGAAGACACATCGCAAAGTTGAACAGCTGTGGAGGATCAACTCAACTCATCGCGATTCTTGAGAAGGTGGAGGTGCCAAAACGATAGCCAAAATAAAGCACTGTGGCATCCTTGTATAAGCTTAACAATGAAACAACTGCAGTAAATTTTTGTTGCGAAGTTTTCGAATTTATTCTGAGCGTTGAAAGTCTTTACCTTTTAAAACTCACTGCCTATCGCCTGGTAGGTTTTCATTGATACACAAGCGGAAACACGGGCAATTGTTTCGCTGCACACGTATGTTACGATAAGCCAAATTCTTGAGAAGTTGGAAATTTGGCTGGATGTGTAGTAGACTTTATATTAGTAGACTTCTTTATATCACTTAAGGCTGTATGCATATGCAATTTTCCCAAAATGTTTTTTCAAAAGTTATTTAGATTGAAGTTCAAATTTTCGAGGATTCGGGAAATGCGATTTAAATTTCTAAATTTTTTTACACAAAGGTGGTAAGCATCCAAATTGGGTGCTGGGTCTTTTAGAACTCCCTTATGTTCTTCTGGATGAAATGCTTATTGTTCAGTCTTTGAGATGTTCGAAATACGACTTCAACAAAAAAAAGTCCGAGGCTACTAAAAGTCAAAATTTAGTTTTTGTAGGATAAAGATTGATTTGTTCGAAAAAACTTGTAGAATACACTAATTTTGGTTTAATATGTGTAACGTTTTGCTTTTGTTTACTGCCTATTATTTTTTGACGGTAGGGTATTAAGTCATGTGCAACTATAATGATGCTAAGATATTTGCAGAGCCTGGATCCCAGGTTGGATTGGAAACGATTAGTTTTTCGGAAGGCTCACGTGTAACCCACTGCACCACCAACACCTCTGCTATCTCTTTCTTCGGCCAGTTTTTTTACCCTATGTTTCTTTAATTTCCAAGAGCATAGATCTTTTCGGCTATGTTCATTGAAACCTGTCCAATACGGCCAATCTGTTGCCCTCCCCCCCTACCCCACCACTTGTGAATCGAAATCAATTCACGACGGGTCGTGAGTGTTAAACAGGGAACTTCTGGTTTTCTTTGTGGCCGTTCGTTCTTATTACTGTTCATAATTTTGTGGAAGATATTCGCTACAGCAAATTTGGAATTGCGTCGAGATTTCAGAACAATGGATTTCGCCTCTGTCTTCGAAATGACAGCAATTGATTGGGTACTTCTTGTTCTTTTGGTGGTGCTGTTTTGGAGATGGTTGCGGAGACGCGGAGAACCGGATGTTACACCACCTGTTCCACATAATGTATTTGTTTTTTTAATATATTGTTTAACCTGTGTACGTTAAGAAAGTCGTTTCACAACGAAAGCTTCGTTATCTTCATTCCATATTTTGGTACGGAGCTGGAAATTCGGAAACATGAGATTCTCACCAATTGCTTCATTACTTCATAAAATTTCTCTTTTGAATAGTGGCCAATTTACTGCCTTTTTCTTAATCCATTTACTTTTGAATGGTGCCTAGGTTCCTCCTCTTCCGAAGCGTGATATGACCTTGGAAGAGCTGCGAAGATTTGATGGAGTTCACGACGAACATATACTGTTCGCGCTGAATGGAACGGTTTATTTGAATTCTTATGTTTCTGGATTGTTTATTATATTTGTTCGGTTTTTTGTAAAAGAGAACCATACAGAAAGTGGTATTTTGTTTAAGATATGTAATGATAACAATGCTTTCTAGATTTATGACGTATCACGCGGTCGGAATTTCTATGGTCCTGGTTGTGCGTATAGTGCGTTAGCAGGAAGGGATGCGACGAGATCCCTATCTACCATGAATATCAAAGATGTTAGAGATGAGTGGGATGACCACGAAGATTTGACAAGTGCTGAAAAGGTTTGGCGTTCTTCATCGTTGTTTATGATTGTTTTTATAGTTATTACAATGCGATTAATTTTCTTGTAAAGCACATAAAATATCGTATTTAAAGTGTATGGAGGTGAAAGCGAAGAAAAATAAGTGCTGCCAGTTAAAATATTGGGTAGTAATTTTCACTCAGCCACTTTAGCATGTTTTCTAGGTTTTGATAATCTTCATACATATAACCGTTTATAAGGACTTCCATATTTGCTTGAACATACTAGTTCTTTCGTTGTAGCGGAATAGTATTAGATTGTGTGGAAATCAATGCAGATTTTTAAACATCGTATTTAAAGTTGCAAGTCTCAGCTCAAAACAAACTAATAGTGGAAGTAAAAGCCGCAAGAATCTAAACATTTTTGTCGTTGGGAAACGAGTTCCTTTATTCCACTTTATGCTCCGAATTGGATTCTGAAGAATCTCACAAACAGAAAGTTGTCGATGTGTTCGAAAAAGTGATATTCGGTGGGCGAAAGGTTCAGCGAATATGGTGGATTAGGCAGAGTTTCTTAGCTCACCTTCAACTTTTGTAGCGTCGATAGTACGAATTGTAATTCGTAGTGTAACGTATAACCAATTGTAACTGCATCCACTTGTCGAGCTCTCTCGGCTTTAACATTTTCCTTGGATGCTCCGAAACAGCTGAGATGCTTAGATTTTACCCTGAGTTCTGGAATTTCTTCAGCATCTGTGCGTGTATTTGCTTCGATGGAATCCTTCAATTTGCGGTCGTCCGTGATTTCCCTCACCTTCAACATAGTATTCATTACGACGAATTTTTAAACCACTAATTCCATATTCGTTAACACTTTTCTTGACCTCATACCTTGTTAATGTTTCGTACCGTTAGCGCTCCATTGCGGCTGAGTTTCGTAAAAGTAAATTTGTCAAAATTGCTGTTTTAATATCGTGATTTGGGAATTCATCCCTTCAGCGGGGGCTTCTTAAGCTGCGGAGGAGTCCAGAGCTTCCATAAGTTCAATAAGGAAGCCTAGCTAAGACTAAACCGAAACGAAGATCCACCGCCGTCCTGGCACCAAATAATCGTCGCATGGTGGTAAATCCCCCTTTAATTCACAACAGCGACGACTGACTGGGCTGACGACGATCTGGGAGAAAGTTTGGCTAGGCTAACCTCGGGACTCTAGAGAACCACATTGTTCTAAACCAGCAAAGCTCCGAAAACTGGAAATTATACTGGGGGGTCGCACAATCAGTGAAGACGGGGCATCCAACTGTCAAAGTAAGGTGTCGCGATTTTTAACCTGTTGCATTTTCCGTAGATAGAAATTGTGTTGTAATTCAATTGTGTCGTGCCAAAGTGCGTAAAACAAGCGCCGCATTGATGAATACTAGTACAGAAGTGGAAAAAATACTAAAACATGTATAGTGGAAATGAAATTGAAAATTCGTCGTTAATTTTCGGGCAACTTAATTTCGTTAATGTTTGATGTGAATTGGTCGATTTCGTCCGTGTTCATTTTTAATAGCCTTTTTATCCATGCAGGAAAGTGCCAATGATTGGGAAATGTCATTGAAGTACAAGTATCCAACTGTTGGCAAACTTATCAAAAGTGAAGCAGAACGCACCGATTACGGTGGCCAAATTTCTACGATACAAGTATAAGAAGCATCACCGTCTTTAATTAAATGTCTTAATCTCCTTTCCTTAATTCTGTTAAGCTGTACTTGATCTAAATATTCGCAAACAGTATTTCTTTATTATTGGCACATAATGTTGGCACGTATAGCCGGTTATCGTTTGTATTCCCTCAAATGCTGTTTATACGTTCTGACTTGTTCTTCATGTTATATAATTTTATTTTGGTAAAAGGCGTTCTTGAATAAAGTACTTTGTTCAACTGATGTTCATACGTTAGACAACTACTTTACTGTCTCGTTTCTATCGCGTAAATGTATTGAGAACAATTGCTTTATATTTTGGAAAAAAACTTTTTGTATCAGTGATTACGATTCTCTTCGTTGGCTTCATATGTTCACCAACGTTGGCTTCAATTGTTTAGGCACAGATAGTCGAGCCATGCAATTTTATTGGAACTTTACATAGCACTAACTTCCACTATCGATCGAAATAATCAAGGATAAAAGTTCTCCAGGTATGGCGTTCATGTATCCATTTCATGCACCAGTATTGCCAATGAAGTGGGATGATCCAGTATGGGTACAAGAGGTTTTTCCCGCAATGGAGCACGTACTGTTGGCGACTATTGAGCAAAAAAGAACGAATCAGGTACGACAGGTTGAAGATTACATAATTGTGTCACTATATTTGCGTCTAAAGCATATATGCCTTGGTTATTTATTGATTTCTTAGATTTTGTAATACCTGGGAGTGATTTTGTGGTAAGACTCACTACAGTTCAGTTTTTCTTCTTTTTTTCTCTCTCTCTCTGAAAAACACCATTGAATTGAACATGGCTAAGACAGTGGGTGCAGGTTCTTTGCAACCCACATGTTTGATCTCGCGTCCCAGATTCACCATGTCCACGTCCCTCTAGGGTTGGGTCCGCAAACAGGTTCCCGTGTGGGAAAGAACACCACCTTAATCGGCCCGTGGACCTCGACAAGTTATCATTTGGACTAGATTGGATTGAACAGTTACGCACTTTGTTTCCACAATATATGCAGATGCATTTAGTATTAATAATTGATTCTTGTTTACTATAAGACATAATTTTAGCGTGCTAGGGATCAGATGAGGTATATCAATGACGGTTCATGTGGGTTGCGAGCCGACGATATAGATGAGGAAGAAGAAGATAGTGGAGATGACCACTAGTTGTTTTTTGTCTTTATTTTTGTGATGATATAATGCACTTTGTGGCACTTTCATGAGTGGTGTGCTTATCCTCAGTTGCATAGTAATCCTTCAGTGGTCAATGTACTACCTATTTTTCCAGTAAGTGGAGAATTATCAGTGCTTGTTGTTCCTGACTTCATTGTTATGGCTTGAATTGTTTTTGACTTTGTTTTTGACATTGACTACATTGTTTAATCGTTCTCCAAGCTTAAATGGGAAGTATGTCTTCAACTGTATGTCACGTTGATTAAGTGTTTTTTCTCTCTTCCCTCAAATAAATATGAAGTGCACTGATTCTTGTTGTTTATTTTTTCCACACGTCGCTATTTCGAAAATATATCAACTTTTCTGAAGTTTTTATTCCAGAGAGGTGATTTCCCTTAATGTTTTATAAACTACAACAATTCAGTAGTACCATGTTACCCGAAAGTTTCAAGGTTCTCTTGTTAAGAGCGAAGTATAAGGACATTATAACTTCATGGAATGAGACATGTGCTCCGCGTGGTGATTTGACGTCCTCTGTATCAATTGATCATTTGATTCGTTGTGCTTAGATGGATCAACTTCGCCATCTTGGTATGGGCAGCTCCAAAGGGTATAGATTTTTTTTCTGAACTATTATCTAAAGTTACGAACTGTGGGATAAGGGCGCATGTAGCGCAGTTGTCTGAGGCGCCGTACAATACACAGAATCGATCCCAGGGTTCACCAAGGTTTTCACCTCTCCGGAGTCGTCAAATTGGTACCAAACTTGTCTAGGAGGATAACAGGCACTGGCTCGATACATCGGAGTGCCATCGTTAGTCATTGTGAAGGCCAGGTATGTATTCAGTCACCTCCAACGGTGCTTAATAAAGTCGAGTGGATGGCGCATCCCTCAGCGATTGGTCAACCCCGAGAGCTTTATCCTTTTTTTTATGAAATGCAGAGAGTGTAATGTGTTCTGGAAATCTTTAACGATTCCTCTTCGTTGGTACCATTCTGCAACCTCAGCAAACGTTTCTCTCAATCAGTGGTGGTAAGGTTGTGGTAGTAGTTGAAAGTGAAAAGTTTTCCGGTAATAGAATGATAGTTAACTTGAAGTTATATGGAATAGGATGTTATTTTTTGCATCTTTAATGACTGTGTCATTTTCTGGAAAACGGATAAGACTGTGTTTAAAATAAGGTTTCGAAACTTTTTAATAATCTTGGTAAGGTAGATATTTTTAGGCGTAATCATCGCTCAAAATGTCGCCGCGGTGCCGCTGCCCGACCTTCAACTCAGATGACTTCAGTGCCACAAATGGAAAACTCTGACTGTTTGCCTCGTGCTTCCAGTAATGTCTTTCAGGCAACTTCGCCATCGCAAATTCCTTATTCAACAAAAGAAGTACTTCATTAGTCTATTTAGGAAATTTGGTTTTAGTCATTGTTGCATAGTCTTACCAATTTAGAGCACTGACAACCATTTTACGTGCAAAGATTTTCCGATTAAGTTGGATGGTACAGCTTTCAACATTTATAACGAGACATACTCGGTGAACTATTGGGTTTTTTTTATCTCATATTTCCCTCCAACTGTTCTGTTCTGTAGGAATTAGGAAAGGAATTCTGTATTCTTCTATATGTGCCTTATTCATTTCTCGTTTTCTTCTCACAATTACTCTTTCTTCTTAGCAAAATATTTCGTGTACTCTAGGTTACTCTTCTGCATCTGCCCAGATATGACGGGATTCTCATAAGTGTGAAATGGTGTGCAATAAAATGCTCTCCAATTTGCGCTATGGTATCGTTCGACAGCTCAGAGAGCTTTATACGGTCTGCTGTAGAAGAATGCGTGGGCAATCTGGAAAATTCCAAGCGTATAAGTATGTCGGTGGTTGTTTCTGTTATATTACTGTTATTCGCGTGTAGCGCAGTGGTCGAAGGCGCCCTTTAATACATGTGGGATTGATCCCCATGCTCCAGGCCCATCAAGCCTTCCATCCTTCCGGGATCGGCAAATGGGAGGGTAGCAGCACCGGCACCATAAATCAGTAGGCCACTGCGAATCTTTGTTAAGGCTAGATATGCATTCAATTACCTCCAAACAATGCTTAATGAAGTCGAATGCATGACGCAACCCTCGACGATTGATTAACGCCGAGAGCTTTATTCTTTTATTATTTTATTCTTCACTTACTGCAGTTCAACTTATTTATCTGTTAACTCTTTTCTTTTGTACCCACTTTATTCTGTTTAGCTTCAAATGGCGAACGACGTCCGATTAGTCCTTGTTCTCTGAATTACTTAGCGAATCACTATGTTGTCGTACTGGATAAGGTAAGCAGACTTATTTGTCAAGATTAGACATGAGGTTTTTCTTTGTTTGTGTCTTCTATTTTTGTCATGGTAGATCAACGAGAATTATCCCGATGCTGTTTACTGGTGTTATTTATGTGATTATCATATGTCGGATATAAAGGATGTGCGATTACATTTTGATATGAAACGACATTCTTCCGGAGAAAAGGTGCGCTTATAGCTTTGTTGTTTTACCACGTTTTTAAGTCATTGTCCTAGAACCTACCCCTATACCACTCCGTGTTCTGTTTTGTTTTTGTTTCATTATTATCTGTTCACTACTCTGCTGGCCAAAAGTGGTGGTTGAAAAATCTTTGTTGCTGCTGCCCGGTTTGCTTTTTGAGTGTTCTATAGAAGCTTTCCACGAAGGCCATGATATCGTACCCAATAGGAACTTTACATAAAGCTCATCTGTGTGGGCAATCACGATCTCGGCAGAGATTCCGATCTATCGTTTTACTCTGGTGACATAAATAATATAATGTTTAACTTTTCATTTACTGCTTATTTTCTTTAACGGCAGGGTACCATGTAAAGTGCAACTGCAATGGTGCCGAGATATTTGCAAAACTTGAGCCCTGCGATTGGAACCCGCAATTGCCCTTTACCGGGGTTCACGTGTTACTTACTGCTTCACTGATGCCCTCTCTTTGCTTTCTTCTAAGCTAATTTTTTTTTACCGGAATGGTATTATCAGCAGCCACCCGCTAACGGGATTCTGCAGTAGATAACACGAAAGCCTTTGGAAGGGGTAATAGCGGGTTCCAATCTTGCTAGGAGTCCACGTTTTACGAATATCTCGACATCATCGTGGCTAGAATTCACATAATTAATGTTATGGAAATCTGCTGTGGTATCAATTACGCGTTGTCTCTATATTTTCGCTAACTTCAGAAGAGCATTCTTTAGTACCTAAGTGGACAACATTCACTCAGCGCACGTGGACCAAGCAGAGAACATGAGAGCACAGGTTTTCATCGATCATCGATTTTATCGACCTAAATCACAAATTTCCTCATTGACTGTTGAACGAGTCGACTGGGGGTCAACAACATCGCTGATAGAGTTGTGCAATAGGTTTTACCTGCTTCAGAGACACAAAGAGCATCGTATTTCTTGTTCAAAGTTCGGCTCTGAAGAAGAAAAAATGTAGAAATATGACCGAGTAGAGTTCGATAACGATCTCCTATAGGCTGAGCAATCTAGAAAGTCTGCAGTTAAACCCGTTGGTTTTCCTTCGTTTGTTTGCTCTTAAAAGAAGAACTGGATAACAAAAATGCTATTGCTTTGGTCCATCCTCACAACACGAACTTACTTAAACTGTTCGGACATTCGTAATAACCACATGGTATATACCGTGCATTTGTTGGAATCGAGATTTCAAGACTGTCAAACCCTTAAGAGGCCTTTGTGGCAGTTTATATAAACTAGTAGTTGTTTTTTGTACTATTATTGAAGTAACAATAGTACTACATTAGGCAATAAATGAAACATTGCCCAAAAATCATTGTCTGTGAAAGACTGTCGTAATCCCCATACTTTACGGCCACCCTTTCCATGTTCTGTGAGATGATAATGCATTTCCTTTTTCAGCATGTAAGTGAACGAAAAGAATTGGTGAAGAAAGTGCCAAAAATGTCAACTAATCAGTTGGAAGCCATTAATACATTGATAAACAGGATTGTTCATGGGAGTGATGAGGTGATTCTTCTAGCTTTTTTGTTTGTTAGTCTTTTATAGCTTTACTGAGGAAAAATAGTTTCTTCTAGGATATAAGAAGTCCTATATGGAAACGATACTTGGAATTGTCGTATACTATAAAAGATCTTTTTCATCATATTGTTTTCCGTGAGATGGACGTAGAAGGTTAGCAGTTTACTCTTCTATCCAAAAACAAAAGCAAAACAAAGGGTTTTTTAACAGGCTTCCCTACGGTGTTGCTGCGACAGTATGTAAGACTTTGTGAAGCACCACATATGCTGCTATTACAGGGCGTGTACAAGTTTATGGTTCAGTAATAGCAAAGACGGCGATTGATGGCAGTGACTTGAATCTTTCGATTGATATTCCAAAAGTCGCTTGTGATGATGCTATAGAAACTATGGAACTAATCACCCAGTTGTTAAATAAGGTTTCAGGTTTGCTGTTCACAACAGTATTTCATACTTTTTTCCTTTACTTTTGATGCTT